CACGCACGCACGCACGCATGCATGAAGTAGTCCGAAAGTACATACAGGAATCCGCTGTCCGGCTGCCTCACCTTCCCACGGCTCCATGGAGGATCCCAAGGCCTCTGTCTCATAGAAGGATCAGAGTAGTTCGGAGTGATATAGTGATATGATATGTCCGGATGCTTCCTGGAGAAGTATCATATTAGAGACCCAAGGCTCTATCCGAATCAACCCTAAACCCTACACCCCCAANNGCCCTAAAACCCTAAACTCCCTGTGCTCTTCGAAGCCATGCCTCCGATAAGCCGCCAAGGAGCGGCTTGAAGACGTTGAAGTCCCTCCAGGGAGCGGCAGAAGGCATCGATGCTTTAGGGGTTTAGGGCTTTGGGGNNGGGTTTAGGGTTTTGAGGATTTGGGGTTTAGGGTTTTAGGGTTTTAGGGTGCAGGGTTTAGGGAGAGTTTTCAGGGCAAACTTTCGGAGGTTTTTGGGTTTAGGACTAAGGTCAGAGGTACTTTGATTGTGGCCATAAGCAGCCTAAACCTGTCTTATTAATCCCGATAGTTAGTCCCATGATCCTTCATGCAGGTGAGGACGTTTACGGGCAGCAGAATGGGGTACATGTGGGATTGCAGCCGCAGTAGTCAACAGGGCTAAGGCTTTAAGATTTATAGGGCTGTGCCACCGGAAGACTATTCCACCCGGTCCCTGAGTCCTGGTCTGCCTTCAGGTCGTTCGCCTTTCTGCTGAGTTACGTATACCGTAGTAAACCTCATTATCGCCTTTCATCGTTAGCATGTTAAGCTACCCAAAAACGATTACAACGCGGAGGTGAGATGTTGAGAATGCAGGCATCGTAAGAAGCGGTGTGCAAGCCATGCGTTGCAAAAGCACGGTTCTAAGAACGTGCATCGTGCATGTGCGCGGCAGGTTGCGGTATAAGTGCATGAACGGCATGAGAGTGTGCCGGCGAGCGCAATGCCCTTTACGCATCATGTGTAAATGCTTCTTGTGTGTGTACATGTATACATGTATGTAGAGATACTGCGCTGTTTGTTGCGCATGTGCAGGCAAAAGACATGATATATAATGTAACTTAATGTGTAGATATGTGTGCGCACGCTGTTTGCGCCGTCTCCGCACAGAGCGCTCTGCACTGATTCACGATCATGTAATCCAACACCGCATGTCATCATACCTGTCCTACTGTAGCCAGGCAGGAGGCAAAAAATCCGAGTTGGGGATGGGAAACATCTTGATCAGATTTGTCAAACTTGCGTCATATTGGCGACTTACCTTGCAAGCTGTGTTTGCTGTCCGGAACACAGCTGCTTCATAACCCTAAGCCCTTTTTGCTAGAACCCCCTAAACGCTAAAAAACCTCAATGCCAGATAGACCTCGCCTGGCCCTAGTTGTGAGTGCTGAAACCCGAAACCCTAACTAGACCCCAAAGAACCTACCCTTTTTAAGGGCCTTTTTTTTGAAGGAAATCCAGCATAAGGAACCCCAAAAGGAGAGGTTCTTAAAGGGTCCAGGTAAGTTTGAAGGGCCCCCCAGGGCCCCTAAAAGCCGTCTCAGAGCCTTCAGCCCCTGGGCCCTCAAGTCGACTCCGAAAGGTTCAGAAAAGCCGTGCGGAGCTCCAGAGACCCATATGGTAGGTAAAGGATCGAGCAAAGGCCTATACCAAAACCCTACACCTCCATGCAGGATGCAAAAAATGCCTAACAGGCTGTGTCTTTCCCCTGAGTTGGACCTTGCGTTCCTTCTGCAAGGACTCCGTGAGCAGATGGAGAAGTCTTTTGAGGAAGCCATCCGCTCGGAGGAGGCCTATGCCTCGAGTGTGTGAGGATTGCTTCGGATGTAGTGTACGCATGCCTGTGTATATATATATATACATACATACACAGATATAGATGTCCAGTAAGACATGATATATGGACATCTGTATAAGATCAGAGAGAGACGAGAGAGAAGAGAGAGAGAGAGAGGGAGAGATAGAGCCCGGCAAGCAAGCAAGCAAGCAAGCAAGAGAGCGAGAGAGATAGCTTGATGAGGGTGGCGGCCGAGTACAGCTTGTTGCGACAAGAGTTTCGGTGGGGGGTTTGAGTCAGGGATTTCTTGGCCTGGACTCATGGCTATTGGCTCTGTTGGCCGACATGCTCGGCCAAGCATGGAGGTGCAGAGCATAGCAAGCCAAAGCTTCAATCAAGCCTTGAACTACCTGAGCACTGGCCGCCATTGTCGGGAAACGCTCCTTTCATGGTTTCTTCTGCACATCACAAACTAGAAACAGCCACCATTGCTGCTGGGCTGGTTTGCCGTCTAGTTTATGGAAGCGGGGTCCAGCATGCGATAGAATCGGCGTTGTCGCGTCCAACAGGCTCTGTAGCGGCTAGATACGAGTTTCTCAGATTTGGACATCTGTCGGCTACGAGAGCCTCGTAGACGTTACAGGACAACGTTTCGTTCCCACAATTCGGGATACCTTGAACATCGATCAGATGGGCCGTGGCTGCGACATGTGACATCTAATTCTGTTACTAAAAGAGCCCGGGAAGCTTGCATGGTCACTCTGAACCTCGGCCAGGACATCTCCACAATGCAGGTGGTCCAAGGCTTGAGCCAGGCCCGAGACTCTCCGAGAAGCTTGTTACATTAGGCTTTCGAGTGTATGCCAGCATATTCCAGATGGAGCAAGGGTTTATTGAAGTAGTGTAGTCATGACCTACGTCACTCACCCATAGCGACAGATCCATGCCATGGCCTCTTCGATTATCACCCGACATTGCGCCTGCCCCTGTCTTCTACGCTCTGTCAGCAGCAGTAGCATCAAACGCATCCGGAGCAATACTTTCAAAAGCAGCAGCAAAATTCGGAGAGATAGTAACAGACGCGACAACAGCAAAGTAAAGAGCAGCTGTGTATCCACATTGACCGCTTGACCGGCAAGGTCAACAAAGCGCGGCACCAAGCAGCAAGCATCCAGCAGCAGCGACGGCATGGTCAGCATCGCCGCGCATTCTCTCTCGCACTCTCAATTTCAACCTTGGAAATCGTCAGCTTCAAAGCCTTGGACAAGCCCTCGACCGTAAGTGTGATACGCTCAAAGCTCTGCCCGCAGCTGAAATATGTGGCAATCTTGAGATAGTGGATGGGGTTAAGACTCCGCGGCAGTAAGACTAAGAACCTTCGGAATCCTGCTGACAGACTTTAGATGTTACCTTGCTTTATCAACAGGTGTACGCTGACGAACACAGAGACAACAGAATCACAGACATGCACGCACACGACCGTCACTATACCAACACAAGCATGATACACAGATATACATCAACATTCACAAATTCCCAACCGCGAATACGAAAAAGAGGATTGCGGATCCCCCAATCAGCCGTGGAGGCAGCAGAAAAGGGCGCAGCCAAAGCGCAAAGTGCAGCCAAGGAGGCAGACAGAGGGGCAAGGATGGCGGGTCTCGTTAATTCAATCAAGGCTTTCAGGACGAGGTTTGCGAAGGATTCTGAGCTGAGTTTACATAGGTACATGTAGGTGCAGACACCAAGCACAACTGCGGGCGTTGTCGTTGTGCTGCGTGAGTGTTTTGTGTTCTATCCCTCTCTCTCTCTCTCTCTCTCTCTCTCTCGCTCTATCAGACGGGTGTGGCTTGGGCGGGGGGGGGAGCCGACTTCCTAAGTGAGGCGTTTGACTGAGGTACAGGCTCACAACAGATCCAAGTGACTGCAGCCACACAGTCTGTGGAGACTGCAGCACTGACAGACACAACCTGCCCAGATGCAGTGAGATCTATACAGGGGCCTTCTCGGACCCGCAAGCATCAGAATCTGGTTTCAGAGATTTTCAGAGTCCTAACCTACTACAAGTACCATGTGAACTGCTGCGGTCTTGCATGTTTCCCTTCTTGAGCTGGAGAGGATATATCATCATGCGATTGTTATTTCGTTTATGTCAATGTTGGTGCACTGGTCGCAGTGTCAAACTTCCGCGAAGTCACATGTCCTTCATTGTCTTTCTTTGTAATGAGTGCTCCTGCTGCCTCTTTCGTGTCCGTCCTCGTGTACCATGCGCAAAATAAAGCCGCGTCTGCCAACGTTGCCGCCACAGTTACAAGTACATTGCTACATTTGCTCCGGGACTTTCAGCTTGGCACTGTTTACACGTTTCGACTCAAGCCCATGGAGCTTTCCTGCTGGTTGGTTTGCAAAGAAGCGAGAGCGTTCGGTACACTACCTAACCAACCGTGTTCTACAACCGTTAAGCAGCGGGACCCCAGTTGAGCTTCTCACAATCTCTCCCATCGACGCTCTGCACCCCTCAGCGCTAGCTCAGAAATTCTGTCTCTTGTCTACTAGCCTGCAAACACCAGCCGCTACCCTAAAACCCTACGCCCATAAACCCCTCGCCCCCCACCCTGCATCCGGAGCACAGGGGAGCCCATCTATGCCTGCGACCAACACCACTGCCCAGGCCAGAGCCAGAGTGGGACTCAGGGAAGTTTATGCGCAGTATGCGTTCGCATAGGCTTCCGACTTTGCAGACCTGTGCAAGCCTGCATCTTGAAGAGGCAGCTCAAACTATCAGCTGCAGATTGAATTGAACGTTCAACCTGTCCTGGCCCAAGACCTGGCTGGCAACCAGGCCGTATAAGGGTAGGCTCGCAGCTAGTCGCCCATGTGAGCACGCCTGGCCAACTGCATCGAGAAGTTGGGAGTTCGTCGCCATGACGAAACTCTCGGCTTTCTTTTGTGGAATGTTCCCCTCCAGCTCTCCTCCGGTTGATCAGAGTCCCAGTTCCGCGCCGGTGCATACTCCAGCTCCTCCGCCTTCTACACGACCCACACCAGCTCCTCCGGCACCTCCACCACGGCCACCGATGAAAACACCGGAGGTCTCCGAGCAGGTCACGAATGAGGTGCTTCAGGATTCGATAGACGCAGTGACAAGCGGCGTTCAAGCATGGGACCCAGAAGAGTACATTCTCAACTCGCTCCTGCAGGAAGCAGTTCGAAATCATGGACGAGTGGATCTGATGCAGAAGAAGAGCGGGGAGAAGTTTGCCGTGAAAAGGATGCCGAACAGGTGGGTCCGCGAAGGAGACAGGGAGTTCAATGAGCAGTACCCGACTGCCTCAGAACGTCCTTGGGTGGACATCGGCCTCGTGAGGTATTTGAACACCATCCAATATCCATATGCTTGTGAGCTCATCGGTGTCTTTCGTGACGAAGAGAACACATACGTGACAGTTTCATTAGCTACGCAAGGGGATCTTTTCTCTTGGTGCGATCGAGATCCACGCCCAGGACCCGCCAGGGAGGCGGTCATGCTCCCCATTGTCGGGCAGATCTTCACAGCAGTTAGGTGGCTTCATGACTTGGGTGTGGCGCATCGAGACTTGTCCTTGGAGAATATTCTCCTGACGGACAATGGAGGCTCGCAGCAGGTCAAGCTCATCGATTTCGGAATGTCTACCACCCAACGGGTATGCAAGAGAGAGCTCCGTGGTAAGCAATCCTACCAAGCTCCCGAGATGCACGGTCCAGAATACGATGCCTTTCTGGCCGACGAGTTCGCGCTCGGGGTTGTTCTCTTCGCCATGGCCGTGCAGGACTACCCTTGGACTTCAACCAAGAAGAACTCATGCCAGCTCTTTGAGTACATCTCCACCTTTGGCTTGATGAAGTTCTTGAAGAAGAGAAAGTTACGCAAGGGCGCGGAGCACTTGTCGGATGTCCTAAGCACCGAGCTTGCTCAGTTGATCGATAGCATGCTGCAGTTGGAGCCCGGCAACCGTCTTTGCCTTGGCGAATCCTGCTTCAGCGGTGAGGCCCGCCGCTCGGTGTGGGACGAGGTATGGATACAACGCTTTCGCGGACAAAAGTAAGTGGAGATCGAGGAGTGCTGAGTACGCCAATGGAATAGCATTTTTTAAGGAGTACGACGTCCACCGGAAGAATGCATTGGCGTCGTCTTCACCCGCTGAACTACATGCTAAAATCATTCTACTTCGAAAGCATGCGGTTGCAGGTGGGCGAAGTGCTCCGACTCCGACATGGGGTGGAAACATACCCCGTGCGCCATATGAACATGATGTTTCACCGGCCTGTAGGCTGTAGACCCTGAGTGATGGAAGCCCGGGTAACATGTAGGGCATTGCCGACGGCCCCCCTCCATTTAAACGCCAGCAGAGACGAGCAGGGCAAGACTTGCTCGATTGTCAACTAAAGGCCTCGACATAAGAGGTCAGAAGCAGCTGAGTGTGTATGACTTGGACTTCGATGGTTACAGCGCAGCCTGTTGAATCATGCTTCGGTCAGCTGCCGTGCGCTGGTGCACAAAATCCATCCGTGAACCAATTAAGCTACTGCATGGCAAGCCGGAGGTCGGCACGGTCAGGAGACGAAGAGCATTTTCATGCGGGCATAGCATTGCAACATACGTAGTACACTCGTGTTCCGTTTTGCTGGGCAGTTGACGACTCCAGAGATCAGAGACGTTTCAACACATTGGGTGAACAAGCTCAGCTAGACGCGCCTCCTTCTCGAAGACTGCTCTGACATCAGAGCATTGTTCGTTTCCAGCCCTCAGTGTGATATGCGTCTCGCCTGAATCTGATTGCCGTAGACAGCTACTGCGATTAGTGTGCAAGCGAACATTGCTAGTGCGATTCATGTCCATCCACTTGGCTTTCGAATCGTCGTCCATAGCTACATCGCAGCTTCAGCAGGGTGCCACGGATATGCACGTAAGTTGGATCTGCTGTACTGGACTCCTCCAACGGAGTACACGACATTGCTCCTGACCAGACCGACAAGACTACTTCAAGGCACGCCACTTCCCATTGCCGGCTTAAAATGCCGGTGGTGGGCCACACTGTGAAAAGCGAGACCTAGGAAAATAGCGCACCGTGTTGCTTGCTTGCTCCGGCTTGGCGGCACACATGTTGGAGTGTTGTGTTATAACGGTGCGACGAACATGTCTGTATGTATGTGCCAATCTGTTTGTATATCTCTCCTTGCCTGTACACGCATCTAGATGTGCGCATGATTCTCAGCACATATGTCACTACCATGCCGTTACATTACCATGCCCTGCATGCAGCTTCGCTACCGGCATTGGTGTTTCTGCACCACCCTCGTCACAAACCACTTAGACTACGCTTCCAGGGCAGTTACAGTGTCAATGCAAGTAGAGTTTGGATGTCGTGCAGGACCTGGGGGCAGAAAAAGGCGAGGCCACTGAGGCTGGCAGCCTTGCAATCGGGGCCGCCAGGTTGCGTCTGCTCCTAGCAATGGACGGCATGGGATGGTTCGTCACAGAATATCCGGACCTTACAGTCAAGCATCTCACTTAAAAGGATACATCGGATCTGGAAGTTTGGATTCAGAACAATCGCTCGAGGATTCCTGCGGGATAAAGTCTTAGCTGTTTGGGTATTGATTGCGCAGCCGGGGTTGAGTTGAGGCCACCAGCGCGGCACAAACTGCGCAGATGCAGGACCTGCGTTTTGGCCATGGTTTGGTGCATGTGTTAGCTCTAGACTCTAGAACTACCACAGTTATCCATGGAGCAGTGACCATCAATACATTATTTATTATAAGTGCTGTAATGAGCCATTCGCAGTTTCGCCGT